CACTCACACACACACACACACACACTCACTCACTCACACACACACACACACACACTAATATAAATATTTTCAGATCACAATTTTTTATTTTTTTTGGTAACAGATCCAGGCTTCTGACATTGTAGAGGACATCTAAACAAACACGTATTATATTATATTATATTATATTATAATATATCATATATGGAGAATACGGGTTTCCTCTGTCATCTTTTATTTTTAATTATTGGGATTTATTTTACGGGACTTTTATTTCGAAAAGGCAGTCCGGGAATCCCAGTGTCGCACTTCCTGTTATTGCCGACTTCATTTCCGGCCGTCGTTACTGGCGGAGGTGAAAGCCACCGACACATTCGGCGCAGATTCAAGCGTTAACTCGGATCAAATATCGACCAAATCCGGATTCGTTCGGCCTTGTTAGCAGCTGATATTAATAACCCAGCGGATCCGCTAACGCTGTGATGGCAGGAGGTCCGGCAGAACCTGCAGATGGGCTGTAGCGCTCAGGCGGAGGGGTTAATGGGAGGCGGATTGATCTGCTCTGAGATCAGCGGGCGAATCTCGCACAGATGGCGGAGGTACCGGCTCTGGCCCGGCTGGAGTCCCTGGCCCGGTATGTTCACAAAGCGGCCGGCGAGGGGCGAGTCCTGACCCTGGCCGCCCTGCTCCTGAACCACTCCGGCGTCCAGACCCGATACCTGCTGGAGCACGTGACCCAGGAGGCCGGCCAGAGCTCCACACCGCTCATCATTGCTGCTCGGAACGGACACGACAAGGTGGTCCGGCTGCTTTTGGACCATTACAAGGTGGACACTGAACAGACCGGGACTGTCCGCTTTGATGGGTGCGTTGTTTGTTTTTCACATGCATCCAAGTATCCCGTCTGCAAGAGGTCTGTTAAAGATCTCTAAGCATTAGACGTCGTTAAGAGGTCAGATTTCAATCATAAACATCTTAAAGACATCTTCTAGCTGATAGCACAGGAGATGTCTATTTGACCACAAAAGCAGTCATAAGGGTCAATTTTTCAAAATTGAGATTTGTGCATCAGCTGAAAGCTGAATAAATAGCTTTCCATTGATGTATGGTTTGTTAGGATCGGATTATATATGGCCGAGATACAACTGCGCAAAAAATAAATGAATAAATAAATAAATTAATATACTCTCTCTCTCTCTCTCTCTCACTCTCTCACTCACTCACTCACTCACTCACTCACACACACTCACACTATCTCACACACACTCACTCACTCACTCACTCATACACACACTCACTCACTCACTCACTCACACACACTCACACTATCACACACTCACTCACTCACTCACTCACTCACTCACTCACTCACTCACTCACTCACTCACTCACTCACTCACTCACTCACTCACTCACTCACTCACTCACTCACTCACTCACTCACTCACTCACTCACTCACTCACTCACTCACTCACTCACTCACTCACTCACTCACTCACTCACTCACTCACTCACTCACTCACTCACTCACTCACTCACTCACTCACTCACTCACTCACTCACTCACTCACTCACTCACTCACTCACTCACTCACTCACTCACTCACTCACTCACTCACTCACTCACTCACTCACTCACTCACTCACTCACTCACTCACTCACTCACTCACTCACTCACTCACTCACTCACTCACTCACTCACTCACTCACTCACTCACTCACTCACTCACTCACTCACTCACTCACTCACTCACTCACTCACTCACTCACTCACTCACTCACTCACTCACTCACTCACTCACTCACTCACTCACTCACTCACTCACTCACTCACTCACTCACTCACTCACTCACTCACTCACTCACTCACTCACTCACACACACACTCACTCACTCACTCACTCTCACACACTCACTCACTCTCTCACACACACACATACACTCACTCACTCACTCACACACGCACACACTCACACACACACTCACTCACACACACACTCACACACATTCACTCACACTTACTCTCACACACACACACTCACTCACTCACTCACACTAAAAAAAAATCTAAATATTGAGAAAATCATCTTTAAAGTTGTCCAAATGTAGTTCTTAGCAATGCATATTACTAATCAAACATTAAGTTTTGATATATTTACGGTAGGACATTTACAAAATATCTTCATGGAACATGATCTTTACTTAATATCCTAATGGTTTTTGGCATAAAAGTAAAATGTATAATTGTGACCCATACAATGTATTGTTGGCTATTGCTACAAATATCCCCCAGCGACTTAACACTGCTTTTGTGCTCCAGGGTCATATTTGCTCATCTGCAATACGTCTATAGGACGTTTCCTATCAGATGTCAAATAGACGTTTAGAAGATGTCTTTAAGATGTTTATGATTGAAATCTGACCTCTTAAAGACGTCTGTCAGATGTTTGTACACAGCAGAAGCTTTCCAGATGAAGAGATCTTTAACAGACATCTTATGCAACTCAGATAGCACAGGTACGTCTGCAAGACGTCTGTTAAAGATCTGGAAAGCATCTGCTGTGTACAAACATCTGACAGACGTCTTTAAGAGGTCAGATTTCAATCATAAACATCTTAAAGACATCTTCTAAATGTCTATTTGACATCTGATAGGAAACGTCCTGTAGATGTATAGCAGATGAGCAAACACTCTAAAAAAAAATACGTCTTGCAGACGTCAAATAGACATGTGCTATCAGGGTAGAAAATGTCTTTAAGATGTTTATGATTGAAAACTGACCTCTTAAAGACATCTGTCAGATGTTTGTACACAGCAGATGCTTTCCAGATGAAGAGATCTTTAACAGACATCTTGCAGACGTACTACATTTAAGTCATTATCCGTTGAAAAATTTCATTCATGCTTGAGTATATTCAAATATGGCGTGTGAAGACGGGTTTGAGCATTCATCATGTAAACTTTGCAGATGTTATTTCTGTTTTACTTTGTTAGAAACAATTGTATTTAATTATGGTGTAGAAACAATTTTCACTCAGAAATTGCTATTAAATTTCCCAATTAATTACAAAGAAACTGTAAGTAACATATTG